TGTTACCATGGCATAGATTCTGCTTGTTTCTTCCAAATCGCAACTTTAACTTGCGCAAACTCTGATCTCAAAGAAGTCAATAAAGCAAGCAAAACGCACACTTCAGTGTCAAACTTGATCGTTTAACTCACTGATATCCAATCAGTAACTCTTGTAATTTTAGTACATCTTTGCATGAGAATTTGTCATATAATACCATATATCGTACATATTAAATCAAAAAAACAGTTTTAATTATTATTTTAAATCCTTTGTCTTACAAACATTCATAACAGTAATGTGCCACATTTTCATTACTTCATATTGCCGCATTTTTGGTATTTCCCATATGGCCGAAATTTTGCTACCAAACTGCTTTTAATTGTGTGTGGTAGTGTATGTTATTATTTGGTTATGTGAAAGTGGAGATGTGCTGGAACTACAACTGAATTACTATGCAATTTAATGACCAGAAATAATAATTAAAACTTTTCTTTTTATTTAATAAATATTACCTGTAAGTATTGCCTATTTAGTAAGTATTTAGTTGATCCAAATACCTTTATTTGTGTTATTTTACAAATTAAATGTAAAATGTTATATTTCTTCTTATTTTGAAATAAGTGCTTAAAATTAACGAATTTTTTGCTATACAAAAGTCTGTCATTATTTCTTGTATGACAGTATTCTCATTTTCATGTTGCTTTACTGTTATGAAATAGTGAAATTTTCAGAGTTTAATTCGATATAAAGCGTAATGGAACTTGCTTGTACAGATGAAGGGCATAATGGTGTTGAATCTGAAGAGAAAGACAAAGATTACTCGCAAACTAATAGCACAGCGGCAGGTAAAACTTGTGAAGCACTAATTATTTATTATTTTTTTATGCTTTGAAAGCACCAATTTCATGCTAGCATCTTCGGTGCAAACATAAAGTGAATCTGATTCAAATATCTGTTTATATGCTGATTTTTGTATACTTTTCTACTTCATTATTAACAGCTCTTCATTTATATTTAAAAAAAATCATTCAATATGAGGTATCTAACAGCAGCAGACAAAGGATAGTAACTGTTTATACAAAATCTTCAAGATTAAAAGAAATGTATTCAAGAATGTATTAATTTTGTTTTCAGAACCGGAAAGAAAATTTATTGATGGCAAATGGTATTGCCTAAATGGTGCAGATGGTTTTTTGGTATATGAAGAAAATAACTGGATCTCGGCTAAAGATGATGATATAAGACAGAAATGGGATGCTACACTTCCGTTTACAGCATCTGGCAGTAATCCAATAAAATGTGTTGTTGATGGTGTGGTAATGGAATGGAATCAAATCAGTCAACAATGGTTACCGAAAGTAGATGTAAGATTTTGTCCAAATTTTATCGTTCACAGTTTTAGCAAATTTGGCAAGTGAAGTTTAGTTCCTAATAAGTTTGCATGAACATAATGAAGAAGTAATTTTAAGAAATAGTTTTACTTTAAAAAGTTCTAAACTATTGTTGTCAATTTCTTTATTTCAAATGTTTTATAGATAGACGAAAATTTTTTGGCACAGTACCATAGCAACTATGGCATCAATTATGATTTCAATGCAAATGAAGGTACAACTTCTATTGAAAGAAGTGAAAAAACAGAAAAGAATGCAGCTGTGCAAAAAAAGCATAAACTGCATGACAAAAAGGAAGAGCAAGGTAAATATTATAAACTATTTTTCATATCATTTCATTGTAGGCAAGCGTTCTGCTGAAATGATTGAGAGGATTTTTAGGTTGGGTCGAACTTGAAGAGGATAAAAATACTGCGGTTTATGTCTCTAATTTGCCGCTAAATTTTACAGAGGAATCGTTCATTGTTAGTTCGCATTTTTTTTAAAAGTTTATTCAAGAAACTATTATTTTTCAATTCAGAATTGTGTTGTAGCTGAATTACGCTCAACAGGCATAGACTAAATTAGGTGTCCTACAAAATTTGCAGGGATTGATGAGTAAATGTGGGGTCATACAACGGGATGCAAGGACGAATAAGCTAAAAATAAAATTGTACAGGAATGAGGATGGCACTCTAAAAGGAGATGGTAGATGCTCTTATATTAAGGTAAATGTTGAATAGTTAGTGTGAATTTGGTAATGTATGTTGTATGACCAGTATGTGTTAAATTTCAGAAATAAAATGTTTGTTGTTATGTGATCTGAATTTTCAGAAAGAGTCAGTTGTAATGGCTCTGGACATTTTGGATGGCTGGAATGTAGAAGGTAAAATCATCTCAGTTGAAAGGGCTAAGTTTCAAATGAAGGGCGAGTTTGACCCATCAAAGAAAAAAAAGAAGCTCACAGCAGCTCAGAAGAAGCGTTTCATTGAAAGTCAGGAGAGGTAATTGAAGTCTAGTTTTGGTATGTTTTCAAAACAAATCATTATCACATTGGCACTTTTTCACTTTTCCTTTCCAGAATTTTCGAGTGGAAACCAGAGAAACCCCGAAACTACCGTCCAATTAGTGACTGTACAGTTGTGATGAAGAATATGTTCACTATAGAGCAAATGATGGTCCGGTTTTTATCAGAAATTCATGCTCATTTCAATTCTTTTAATCTTTAAATGATGTTGATGACGCGTGATTGAAATTCTTGATTTCAGAGTAATGCTGCTTTAGTGCTAGATTTAGAAGAAGAGATTAGAAAAGTTTGTGAAAGATTCGGGACTGTCAAGAAAATCGTCGTTCACGACGTGAGTTCATCTCCGTCATTATTTTTAGAAGGTATTGTGCTCTGAGAAAGTTCTCTGTATGATTAAATAGACTTCGGCTTTTTTTGAACTAACACTTATCCTCCTTGGAATCAAAAAAAAGCTACGAGAAATCAGTAAGAAATGAAGTGTTCTTGGAGATTAGTTCAGATAGTGTTATTTGTAGAAATGTTCTTTAGAATAATCCGGAAGGTGTCATTTGTGTCACTTTCCAAAACGTGGAATACTCTGACTCAGCAGTTCGTTCTCTCAACGGTCGCGTTGTAGATGGTCGTGCAATTTCTGTAGCACTATGGGACGGGAAAACAAAATATGCAATGTAAGCACTATTCAGCATTTATAATAACCTAAAATAACGTAGGCCTATTGAAACAGTGTCTTAACAAAGAAAGTAAGACAGGAGTATTCTCTCTGCAGTACGTAATATTCTTGAAATCACATATAGAAGAGGAAAAAACGCAATGCTGCAGACAGGGCAAAAGTAGTCTTTAATCGTAAGTTTGAAAAGAAAGTTCCCATTTACTGAAACTGTACCTTGGAACAAGAATCATGTCTGAGTTAAATTTATTTTATCTCGTATTCTATTTCTGTTGCTGCTCCTGTTTTAAAAATTTTAAACATCCGTTTCAGAGCTGAAACAGAAGAGCAACGAGCAGAGCGCCTCAAGCAGTGGCAAGATTATATTGCTAAGGATGCCGATTAGCATAAGAACGTAAAGTTGATAGAGCAAAAAGTAATTGCCTTTCTGTTTCTTCTTTTTGCCAAAGTGAACAGATCACGACGTCACTCTGTTTCACTAGCTCCAAATTATCCATCTGAGATTGAAGTCGCTCTTCTGCCTGGAAAGAACTTATTGTGCATGTACTCTTTTGTGTCAAAGTAAGCATTAGCTCTCTTGAAATGTAGCAATATGGAAACGGAGATCTAACATGTGACTTATCAGTCACACTAATTTGTGGAAAAAAAAATCTTTCGCTTTGATATTTTATGAAAATAAATATGAAGTAAAGTATGGTCAAATTTCGAGAACATATTTCTGATGTACAAATAAGATATAATGACAGTTTCTGATTTCTGATGTTCTGTTTAATTTGTATTTGTGATGCTAGTACCGCATCGCTAATACTAGCGATCAATAAACATAGACTTTGTACATCACTTGCTCTGTAAAACATTAAAAAATTATCAGAATAATCATTACCGTGTACAAAGCACGTTATGGTGTAGGACTTCGGAATTCTTACTTGACCAGAAAGGAATATTTTTTAGTGTTAGTTCGTATGGGATTTGGAACGCATTTTGCGAACTGTTCACTACTATTATTACTGATAATCTACAACAAAATACATTACCTCTTTCGGTGTAAGATGGTCTCGCTCTATAATGCGTTCTTTAGCAACGTTAGGAGGAATAATGCAACTCCACACGTGATGGATAGTGCCATCGCTGTGCCATCCAGCTTGCACGAGTACTGCAGCTTCCACAACAATAAATTCCACCGCACTTTGTGAAATAATTTTAATAACTCTGGCTTTTAAACATGGCCAGACGATACTATTTAATAACTGGAGTTTCGCCTAAAAATATATATTAGGGATTTGTAGGATTAACATTCATTCTTTTTTTTTTTGCATTTATTTACCTTCAACAACACATCAATGTTATTTTCATGATTATGCATCTACCTTATCAGCAAAAACAATCCTTCCTAAAGCTCTTCTATCAACCACTCCATTGTGCACAACGTTGTCACCAAATTCTGCAGCAATTCTACTTGCCATAGCAGTTCCTTTTTGATAAAGCTCATGAGCTAATTTGTCGCAGTTGATGACCAACAGAAATGAACTTGTATAGTACTTGTTGAATTTAGCTCATATATTGCTCGAAACAGTAATATATACACATATTAATGTTTCGCAACAGCAGACGAAATCATAAAAAAGAAACTAGTGAGATGCTAAAAAACTAGAAGATGAATTAATGATATTGTACAACTTCAAATTCAAAAATTTTCAGAACTGCAGAATCTATATTTGCACGTCATTACTGAATAGTTTTCCACATAAGTTCTTGTACCTCACATCCATTTTTAGCTAAATAATTAGCAGCGTGTGTTTTCCCAGATGCTATGCCACCAGTTAAACCAATAACAAATGGTCGAGGTAATATATCGAACTTCAGCGGCTTCAAAAATGTTCCCAATAATTTCCTTCGTTGGGTGGATGAACTTAACTTATATTCATCCAACAATTGGTCTTCACCATCCAGCAATTCTACTTTTATCAAATTCAGAATCGGAAGATTTTTTTCCTGGAACATTTCTATAAAAAATTAACTTTGATAGAACTTTTATTTAGTTTTTGAAATGCAAGAAGTTTAGAACGGGATTTTCTAATTTTTAAGAAATAAAACAGACTTACTCGCCTCCTTTCGTTCACAGCATGCCCACCTTTCTCAGTTTCACTGCTGACAATAATTGCTTTCAAATCAGGATCAACAATTGATGGGCCATATGGATCAAGAATTGGATGCATCTCGCAGCGAACATTGTTGCTGACATCTTCGACAAAGTCTCGAATAGCTTCTAGCCTTTTCTCCAACGGCTCCATTAGTTCCCACAGTACTTTTCCTAAAGCCATAAAAAAATTTATCCTAATGTACTCCTTGAAAAAATATTTTAAATGAATTTTTAGTGAATTTTAAATTTCTTATCATTAATGTGTAAGTATTAAATATTCAACATATAGTAATAAATACAGTCCAATTATTAAAAAAGTTTACTTCGAATCATATCACCAGTTGTAACACCACATACTATACGTTCTGAGGCTAACATTACGGCCTTCGAGAGAAGTACCTTGTGACCACTGTGCAAGCGATCAAATGTACCACCAAGCACAACAGCATCAAATGGCTTTTGAATTTTTCGATTACAATCAATGAATTCATCTTCGCAAATGACTTTTTCGAAGGTTCTTTCTTGTTTATTATCGATAATTACACGAACATCTAATCCTTCACATATCGTTGATGCATTACGATATACTTGCAATAAAATCTAAAAAGTTAAGAGCACATAAACAACCAATGTGGTACTGCAAATTTAAATGTCTATTTCACACCAAAAATTGTTTAAAACAAAGAATTACTCGAAAGAGACGCTTATTCTCATTGCATTACAATGCTAATTATAAATGATTAATAATCAAACCTCAAACAGATCCAATTCAGTCGCCACTTTGACGTAAAGCTTTCTGCTTATAACTGATGATGCATGAGCCAAAACAGTTGAAATATTTTGAGAATATTTCGGCCCAATCACTAACAAACCAATATCTTCCATTTCACTTCAGGAAAAACACATTAACACAAAGATTGAAACTGAACCAAAAGGAAAACTAGCACTGCACGAAAAAACATCATTTACGTAGTAACGCAAATGATGAGTGATTCATCCGATATTTTTATTTAAATCGATTCAAATACTGATTCTGCAGAAGATTGATTCCTCTCTGAACGATTCGCTGGCAGTAGAGAGAAGGTGTTTTCTCGGTGTCTAATACAAAGCAAACGTGTAATATCTATTGTGTAATGTGCAAATTTTTCTAAATGATTAAAATTTTTGCTATAATTTTACAAAAATTGAAGTATTAAGGAAGTATACATTTAACGTTAAGTAAGAAAATCTGAACAAAAAGAAGTGCCAAATGATTGGACAATAAAAGACAAAATTCAGTAGTATAACTAATAGCTAATGGCCTAAACTAAAAGTCAGTCAGGTCAAAAGGTTGTCGAAGAATTCTATTTTGTAAATAAGCCAAAATTCAAAATGGATGTTAATCATTTCAGTGCAAAAAAAGTGATGCATAAAAATGTTTGCACATTTCGACAGGAAAAACTGCATTGATTACAAGTTTTTTAGAGAAAAGGTTATATTTGAAACATTAAGTAAACTTTTCTTTAAAAAAATGCAATTTATGCATGGTTAGTCTACAGAATACTATCAGTTTGAAAGTATGAAAGTTGAAGAAATAGAAGGCAGTAGTGCTTATCTGAGTTAATTAAACTCCAAATTACAATATAATAATTATATTAATAACAATAACAATAATAATAATAATAATAATAAGGTCCCATGAAAGTACAAACGTAAGTAAAATCTACTACGCTACTACTGCTGCCATTTAAGGACTTTGACTGCAATTGATTTGAGAGGGATCTTTTGATTGCATAATGCTATTAACTATTTGTTCTGGCTATCTTATTTTGAAGTATTACTGCTTCCCGCCATTATGCAGTCTGTAAAAGTACTTGCATTTGCATAGTGCGTGAAGGGACACTTTTATATAATTCATTTATTAGTATTTTAAGTTTAAGGGTTATATGACAATGAATAAAGGTTATACTTCACATTTTGATATCATAATACTGATGATAGATAATAATATACACATCTAAAATGAGGTTGAAGCAGTAGCAGTAAACGAGGAAAATGGCAGAAGCAGTTGTTATTGAGCAACGGTACTGGTGACCGAAACCAGCAGAGGTTTGTTAAGAAGCATTCGGTCTGCACCTCGAATAGGCAGTTCGTGAGAACGATAGAAATTGATGATACTTGCTATGGAACCAAACGTTGGCCCTTCACCGAGTACCCAGCGGTTATCACGCAACTAAAAAAATAACATCAGTATTTAGTAACAACTATTATTTGCTGCAAATTTTGATAAGTTTTGCTTGTTATTAGACTACAGGTTGTTTTCGAGAAAAGAGTTATCAATAATCACACCATAATGTGATATGAAAGTATTGCAAAGTACAGAAAGATAAAAATGTGTGTATGTGAGTGGCCTCTTTTCCGTGAAATCTAATCTTCATGAATGAGTTAACCTAAAAGTTTTCTAATGGATTTGAAAAGCCTTAGCAAAAATATCGCTTGAGGGTGTTTTTATTTGCTAATTATCTTTACATAATTTCAGTTATGCTGTAGAAATGTACTCATTTGTATCATTAATAGTTTATATATTTTCTACTAATTAGAAATAATATTAAGCCTAAAGATATACGTTAGCGTGCCAACGCTGTTCGTTAAGCACTGTATTACTTGAAGTAGTGAAGAATTATTAACCTCAAGTTTAATGTGCAGCACACCTTTCCTTGCTCTTATCGACAAAGCAAGTGTGCCATTATCACGTACACGAATCAGAAACGTGCCAATCTCATGACCAGAAAGTTTTCCTTCTGCATTTACTCGGTCGATATCTTTGTGCACTATCTCTTCTTCGCGGTAACGACTACGTCGTGAATCACGTCCATTTGCTCGCTCTGTAAAAATTAATCTTTTATATCTGAACTTAATTTTCCAAAAAATAATTTCTTGACTTCGATTTTTTTCTGAAATACTCTTCAGTTTAAAATCCGTAAAAGGGCAGGTAGCAGAACTGTTATGAAAATATTTTAAGAGTAAATTTTTTCTAATTTTCTACTATCCTTTTTCTTCTCACTACGAATCATAACGAAAATCAATATCACGGTAATTAATTGATAAGGCCTACCACGTAACCTTCCAATGCTGAATTTGAAGCGACTGCGTTCAAATTCAGTACTTGAAGCTCGTCTTGGATCACTTTCTGTCACCTTTTTTGCGGCACTTCTCTATAAATTAATTTGTACAGAAATAATGAGGAAGGGTCATTATAAAATTTTAAAAATTTTCTCGTTGCTTTCTTTGTCAACCTCAATTACATCATTGTGTACAACTGGTTTTGCAATAACAATCTGCAGCGATAATTTTATGAAAAATAGTCGTGACTTGTTTCTGAAGTTTTAATTACAGTAAGTTTGATTTTTTGTTGCTTCTAAACTTCGTCATTTAGATGTATTTCCCAAAGATTTATTAAAATAATTGACCTGCTTGACTATAGCATGATTATATTTAGGTAATTGGCAGGATGAGGATGATGTATTGTTACTCGACTGCTCCTCCACAATTCCACAACAACGGGTTTGCAATCCGCGCTCCAGCCTTTTGGCTAATAACAATTCTGAAGAATCGGAATGAGGACGTTCTCTGTAAAAAGATAAAAACAATAATAGAATGTATTAATTTGTAGACTGTAGAAAAATTTACAGGTAAATGGCAAGTTTTGCACATTTTCTTGCATAGAAGTATTGAAAAATTGATATTAGATCACGTATTTTTGTTTATCCGTAACTTTGTAACTACTTACAAGTATTTTTTATTTTCAGTTTGAACTCCAAGGTCATGCATATACTATGTATCGGAATAGCTCATTAGTAACTCACCGCGGTGGAAATGATGCAGTTCGATGAAGGAACTCCCACGGAGTGTCGTAATGAGCCTCTTCCATCATCAATACTATTCCATACCTTTTCTTACCATTTTTCTACGAATTAACAGAAAATGAAGTTACTAGTTCTTTTTACTGTGTGACAATTAGTAACATAATTTGCGGATATAATTTGCAATTTATTGCTGAAAGTAAAAAAAATTTTGAGAACTTTATATAAGAAGAAGCTATCTCCGCTAATGAATTTTTGTATTTATGAGATGGCGAAGTAATGATTGGTAAAAATAGTTACTGCTAATTCAAGGACCTAAAAACAAGTCCGAACTGACCACTCTAAGGTGCATGAAGGAAGTACAGGTAATGGATGAGGTCAAACGGGGGAAAATACAGATAATGGATGAAGTCAAGCATTATTATGAGCTTACGTAAGAAGTAAGGAAAGAAAAAAGCTAAACTTATTAGAACATTAGCTATTGCCACGAATGAATATACTTATTCAATAATGAGAAGGTATTGCAGAAATTTACGCGAATTGACAAATTTAGCTCTCTCGTAGCTTCTTATTTTCTCATCTTTGAAGCAAAGTATTTAATTATTAGTAAAGCATAGTCTGAGGTCACCTGTTCAGTACTTTTTGTTGTTTTCTCGTTCAAGTAATGAAAAGTAAAATTTTAGAGTTAGCTACTTCAAAAGATTCGTAGGTATTTTATAAAAAAGAAAAGGTCATATTTGCTCTGTAAATATGACCTTTTCCTTAAACGTAAGATTTATGTTTCAAAAATACGAGCGCGAAAACGAGATTAAGGGATTTGACATGATTTGAAGAATCATGTCACATAGATCATCGTGCAACATATGCAATAATTAACGATAAAAAAATATAAATTTTATGAAGATATGAAGGAATGATGTGGAAGGATTATCTCACAGTAAAATATCGATACAAAATTGACAACGTATCACTAAGAAGCATCGTTAGTTACGAGTGGGTTGTTATGACCATTTTTGTAGCAAAGAATGCCTTAATATACGCTAAATACATTTCTACGTCAAAAGTGGATTTTGTGATTGATACTTCTCATATTTCATGAATGGTAGTGAAATGGCACAGCTTGATACCATCAGAATAATCAATGAGTTGGAAACTTTAGATAGTCGATTTTCTGTTTGATGGTATTGCAAAGACTTTACAGAATTAGACAACGTTGTCAAATTAATTATCAAGCATTTGACGTATTCATTTACATGTGCATTATTGATTCAATTGTATACATATATATATTTTGATTATCATATATATATATATATACACCTTTTGGTGATAAATCTTCATGTACAGTGGTAGTAGCATTACTGTCTTACTTCATTACTTCAGAAAAAAAGCAACGCATAAAGTAAAAATTAATGCATATGTAGACATCCCTTGTAATGTTTCTACATCAGATTATGAAATAATAAGAACAATGATAATAATGATATTTGCTCATCAGATCATGTAATAATAATAATATTGACAATAATAGTAAAGTAATGATATTTGCACATCAGATTATGTAATAATGATAGTAATAATAGTGATAATAATAACAATGATAATGAAATTATAATAATATTAGTGATATTTCGTCTCAAAAATAATATGTAATGAATATATTTTGTTTGTTACCAAATTGATTATTATTATTATTATGGTAATAATAAAGAGTGAAGTAAGCAAGCAATATTCTAAGAGCACCTTTCCTAATATATATGTATATAGGAGGGATATAGTTGAACAGATGTAGAATATGGATGGATAAGACATGGATTGGCAATAAATGCCATTTAGCATTAGCATGATGTATGTGGCTAATTCTCGATCGATCTTTCGAATTTTAGCAGTGCTCGTAGAAACAAAAAGCCACTGAATGGAGATAGCACTATATAGTTTAGCTGAAAATGCAACGCGCAAGTTCACGAAGACGATTGAATGCAAGCATTAGTCAAGAATAGGTCACGTGAAGCTGTTCCTACTTGCGTGATTTACAATGATATTTTACTAGTGTGCATACATGAATAATAACCAAATAGATTGTGTAGTAGACGAGAGTTTTGGGCACTTTTGCTAAAGTCTTGCTTTTATGTATGAATGAATAGCTAGCTGAAAGAGAAATGATGCAAGAACGCCGCTTACACGAGAATGAAGTGCAAACTTCAGGCATTGAAGGCAATGAATATTTACAATGCAGATTCTGTTTTCCCGACGAACGAATTGTTTGGAAAATATGTTCCTACGAATGATTGGTTTGGATTGGATAAATTGTATATATATATGTGTATAAAAATACGTTTCCGGCTGGTACAGCGAGGACTTTTATAATTTTTAATATTTCTTTTCTACGATAGAAGAAAGCTAATCTTCGTCTTTTGCCAAGACTAAGAAGGAAATTGTTACCGTACTGTACTGCACTGTACACAGATGACAAGAAGTACACACAAATGGCAATCAACCAACCACGTAATTATTTGATAAACAAATTGCATATATAAATATGCTTGTTCCTATATCCTCCACGTTATAGCTGCTAACAGTCATAATCTCGTAGTTATGATTAGTAGAACAGCACCGATACCTTGAATTGCACTTAATTTAAGAGCAGTATTCTGCATTCAGTGTCCAACTCATGCAGGACACGCGTTTCCTCCTGGATCCACGTTTCATTTTGCAGTACACTTTACAATAAATATACTCTCAAGCAAAATTTAAGCTAACTATTGTCTTGAACACGTTATACAAAAAGATTAATAGCTGTTGATCAATTATACCGTGATTAAGACCATGATGAGTACTAGTAATCAAATTTGCACGCGGATTTGATTTACTTGCAAAACTGCTTGAGATGAAGTAAGAAATTAGCAATTACAACTATTAGGCAAAGGAAGGCGAAAATTAGACACGTATGCGAGGTAACATTGGTAAGCTGTTGGGAGAAAAATAAAATGTTATACGTCCATTTCACGCAGGTGTATTCTGACAACAATATGCAAATTAGGCAGCTGGTCACTTCCACATTACTAAAAGAGAAAGAAAATAAGCAGTCATATTTGATGAATAATAAATGATTATGTCAAAAATTACTCCTTATTCAATGAATTGCATTAATAATTTCTCTCAATGAATAGTTCTTACTTTTTTGATTTCTATGATTGCTATTAACAAGATTGCAGAGCTATATTAGATCAAACTTGATCTAGATCACATCATCTACCTTAGTATGGATATAATCTGTAATAACTGCGTGTATGCCAAGGTACTTCAATAGCTACCTCTTAGCCTGAACTTATGTAGTTCTAAAAATTAGGAAAAAGACAGGAAAATCTAATATTAAAAAAGCGGAAAATACCATCTGGTTTGCATGCATTTCCCTACTTAACGAAAAAAATTCCCACAATAAAATTGCGAGGGACAATTAATTGTCGTGAAGAAAGATAAATACACGCAAAAGCAAGCAACGAACGAGTTTTGTGTCTCTTTGCGCACGCGAGTTTATTACTTTTTGGAAGTACTTTTGTTGTTCACTTCAAGAAAAGCACTCGAGAACGCAACTCACGTATATCTTAAAAAGTATTACGTGGATTTATTAAAAATTAAGTCTTATTCACTTCTTTTTGTCATTAGAAAAACGCTTCATAAATTCATGTGATTAAAGTTAGATACGCATGATTAAATGTGAAATTAATTTGGAAAAAGTCGATCGAGTTTAAGACAATTCAAATGAATAATGCAAAATATATATATGGGAGGTGCTGCAGGTCAGAGGTTAATCTTCTTTTGTGCCTTCTTGATTCTCGCGTTGGATCGCGTTCCGGCACTCTCGCTGTACTTGCCGGGCACGCAATTTTGCTAATTCCGGTGCACTGGTCAAGTGCTTTCCTTCACGGAGCTTTTTCAACAAGTTTTCCATTTGCTCACCTGTTTTTCATTTGTTTCCAACTATGATTCCAGGCTCACTTTTTCTGCTTTGCGATTTGAGTAGTTTGCCGCTCAGCCGCTCAGCAAATCAGCAGAGCCAAGCATATATCTATGCTTTACAATGACCTCAGCAAGTTTTAAATGGAAAGTTAGATCTTAGCAGTTATTCACGAGATACCAAAGCAAAGATATGTAGTAAGCCAAGAGCGAAAATAGAGTAAGAAACAAATCTACCGATAGTCCTTCCATGAAACTCTATCAGTATCCAAGAGAAGCTATGCACAATTTTAATAAGGATTACTGACCTACCAAGTGATTAGTGGATGAATGACTGATATCACTGAGATTACAACTGATAAAGCATACTCGTAATTTCAAAAAGAGTTATCATTTTTGCATCCTTGCATTGCTATTTGGTTTCATTCGACTTAACACTTTGAATATACCTTTGAAATGACCGATAATTTCTGAATAAGGTCATCAAGACTAGCTTTCATTTTTCTTTGTATATTCTTCTGAAAACAGAATACTTCCATTTTCTTCAATCAAACTTATCGAGTCAGTCATCTGTTTCGAAACTGTTAAGATACTTAACAGTTCAAGAAATTATTATCACGTCTTGTTTTCAGCTTAGTAACAGCAAGAATCTTCGTATATTTCATTCTAATTCAACATGTATGCTCCGCATCATATATGCTAACACGAATCACCACATGTTAGTAGACGTTTACATACCACTCTGAAAAAGCTTAAACGATTTACATATATCAATTCCTTGGGATGTCCATTTTCATATCGGCGTCCTGTTCAAATTTAGACAGTACTATTTTTATTGGAAAATGTGATTCTGAATTTGGTATCGGTTTTTATGGGCTGTTTGACTGCTTCTAAAGAGATGTAAGAATAACGTTTTTACATTTCCCTTTAGCTTTTTTGATGATAGAAAACAGTGGGCAATATCCGAGTACAAAATTGAGATTAAATCTTCGAATATTTGAGAATCCCTTCAAGTAGATATGGCAAAGAAACAATTGAGTTAAAAAAGAGAAATCACATTTCGAGAGAAGACTCAGTGGGTTCAAGTATTAAGCTTTCATTTCGAGTACACAAATTGATGAGAGAACGGGTTGAAATGCGACTCCTATCTCCGTACCTCTTTAGGCACCTCTTTTGTCCAGTTGAAAATGTGGTCACTTAAAATGATTGGTTTGGAAGTTGAGGATACAAAAATGGCTATGAGTAATCTTTAGTTGAAGTTAGATTCATTCATTGCTTTGTTCAACATGTAAATCTGTAATCGCAATTTCCTTATTCCATGATTGAAACTTCACTAAATAGCAGTGATCATGCAGAAATAAATTAATTCGTTCCCAGATTTATCTGATTTAATATTGATTAGAAATGGATTGATTTAAAACCATTATGTTTCACTTTAATAATAAGTTTGTTACTGACGTGAGTACGTTTCTTATAATTTTTAAAGCTTTATTCAACATGGAAAGACTTAGTTTGTGATGAGAAAATAGAAAGTGAAATAAGCATGTATCTGTTTTATTTTCCAAATCCCAACATTGTGTGTTAAGATTAATTGTGATCCATTCTGAAAGTTTTTGGTTTTCGATTATTTCTCCATATTTAGATGAAATTTTTGACTTGCGATGAAGTTCGTTCAGCATTCATCAGTTTCTTTTTGGATCGTGAACATACATACATACATTCATCATCAGTCATTCCTTTTGATGATCCAACTCTGCTCTTTGCTAATGCCGGCATGAATCAAGTGAGTTGTAAGCAGATGTGACAGTACTGCTTTATCTTCTGTTTATTTGTTCCTATCATTCAAATATTAACATATTTATTTTATTTCCTTTTCGTTTCATTCTTTAAAATTATTGAGCTGTATCATCTTTAATTTGCAAAGTTTTTATTAATTAAATTGTTTTAGAAAGGTCGTCTTGGTCTAATATCTAAGCTCTGATATTTTAAGGGTTACAATCAGTTATTTGACTGCTGGTAATTGCATTATGAAGTGGAAATATGCTTTGAAATTTCACTGTTTTCCTTGCGGAACTATTTTTATTTTCAGTATAAACCTATATTTTTGGGTACGGTGGAGCCATCAAGTGCTATGGCAAAGCTTAGAAGAGCAGTAAATACACAAAAATGTATACGAGCAGGTGGTAAGCATAATGATCTGGATGATGTTGGAAAAGATGTGTATCATCACACGTTTTTTGAAATGCTTGGAAATTGGTCATTTGGAGATTATTTTAAGGTTGAACAAAATGTTGATCACATTCAATACGTTACTGAGTTTTGTATTGTTAGACTTCATAATGTAGTGTGTAGATTGATTATTAAGTAGTGTGATGAAATGCTTTGGTTGATTTTAGCTGGAAATATGTAATTGGGCATGGGAATTGTTGACTAAAGTGTTCAGAATTCCAAGTGAACGCTTATATGTTTCTTATTTTGGTGGTGATGAAGAGTCTGGGCTTGCTGCTGATGAAGAATGTCGACAAATATGGTTAAACATTGGGTATATTATTTACTTCTGTTTGTACTTGTTATTTATATTTTTTACAGAACAAAATTAGTATATTTTATATAATTACATAAATAAACGCTAGAACGTATATATATAATATA